GTTTTTTTTACTAACAGGTATGCGTAAAATCAAGCTACTGAGAACTACGAGTGGGTTGCTTCATTTTTATTTTTTGGTCATTTTTAAGTTTAGTGCAGGAATGAACATCTGTCAAATGAATACTGCTCCAAATCAAGGTTCAGATCCAATCTTGACATATATGGAGCGGTCCATTCTTGCGTTTTGGACGTTGCCTGATTCAGCCAAAATAAAAGGAAGTGAGGTTCCAACATTGACAGAAGACTCAGAAAGTCAGTAAGGGTGCCAGTGAATCAACATGTTGGTATAAGTGAATGTTATTTCTCATCTTCCATGAAATATTGGGAGATATGATGGATGTTTGGACGTGGCACGATTGCTCTACTGCACTAAACATTTTTATATTATTAAACTGAAAATGATGACAGTCCCTCATTTATGAATTAAAGTGGTACTATATGTCATCAAAATCATTAATTTGGCAAGTTAGCAAAATATGGGGAAAACCAACATTTCTGTTTAAAAAAAAAATAAAATCTGATAAAGTGGTCTTTGTCTAGGTCTTGGGAAAAAAAAAAGCTTACGTTTCCCGCGGCGAGCCACAATCCACTGTCAGCCTGCCGCGACGGCCTTCGACGGACAGAACCAGGGTGTGCCAGTGGTCGTCTGCGAGGTGGGCGCCCCGGAACACCCACTGCTCAGTAACGCCTCGCTGTCCCCTGAAGAGCACGTGCAGCCGCTTCCCGGAGAGTCTCAGTCCCAGGAGCAGACGGCGGTGTTCTGCGTTATTCCTCGCTCTTCTTCCGCTGATATCTAATTGCAGATTATTTCCCTTTTCCCTCACTTCTTCATCTACCTTCTCCTTCAGGGCTCCCGGCTCTGCTCTTTTTGGCTCCAGTATGGTGAAGATGTACTCACTTTTCTGGAAGGCGGAAAAAAAATGTATGCCACCAAAGTCCAACACAATCTATCCACAGATGCTAATTGTTTTTTTTGTTTGTTTGTTTGTTTTTTACAGGTGCCTTTATTAATATTGAATTTGTGCATAGCAATTTGTGAATTTGTGGGGGTTTGCTGTATGCCATATTTTTTGCTAACTTAAAGTGTCCTAGGTAGTCTAGTAATTTTGGAAAACTACTTTTTATTTCTGTACTTGGCTTGTAAATGTCCTACATTCTTCAGTTTTTTTTTTTTTAATGTACTGAATTCTTTGGATTTTAAATGCTGTTTTGTAACAATGTGAAGCACATTGAGTTACCTTGTGTATGAAATGCGCTCTATAAACAAAAGCGTAGTGAATCCTCACTATTCACTGGGGGTCGTAACCAGGCCCCCCCATGAGTAGCAAATTGATTTCTAAAGGGTTCTACGTTACTGTATTTAACTTCAGATCCCACTGGATGGCAACAAAGGACTAATTTTGTGTCAACTCCTTAATTCACTCCAACGGTTACTTGGAAACAGGACACTACCGGATGGCGCCAAAGCAATACTCTTACTGTATGATGGCATCTTGTGTGGAATACTAACATCTCGAGTGACGGCAGTGGCGGTTCAAAATTATCGTGTATTTTCATGGGGGCGTGCGGGTTGCTCACCTTATGTGCGATGCGAGCCACTTTCAGCGTGACCACGACAGAGAAGTCTTTCGGGAAATGGTCACAGTTGGAGAGCAGGCTAACGGGAGCGTGAGGCCCGGAGAAATGGATGCCACGTACACCTCCGGATGACCTCACGTGCACCCCTGCCATAAGTCCGTAGGCGTCCTTCTCGAGGACAGTTGATAGAAGATCCACCGGAGCCAAATCTGCAGGCCGTTGACTAACATTAGTGACTATGCCATCGTAGAGGAAACTGATGTCGTGGGGATTAATTATTTCTATCTTTACAGGGGCTGTTATAAAAAAACAACACTTTGAAGACCTTCCCAGACTCAAAACCAAGTGTTCATCCAGGCCACAGTTTTTTGAAAATTAAAGGGGAAGTGAAGTCCAAAATTTTCTGGACCAGATGTGTTCTATGCGGCCCCATGAGTCTCAACATGGCATTTTGATAAAAATTGCATCTGTGGAATATGATACCTGAGCAACTGTGATGTCATTTTCAGTCAACAAGTGGTAAAATGGCCGCCCGCTGAGAGGGATAAAACAGGTGGGTTTGTCTGCTTAATTCAGATTCCACAAACAGAATATTCATCAGAATACTGTCTTTAGACTAGTGGGGCTGCGTACGACGCATTATTGTCAACAAAATTTGGGGGTTGACTTCCACTTGAAAATAAATAAATAAATGGGTTTTATTTCACATTAAATTCAGTATGAATTTCTATCATGAGTACAGCAACAAAAAGTCAAGAACTCATCTCTGAAAAGACACATGACATGTGTCTTTTTGGTATCTTATGTGCTCATCTTGGTCACCATTTTTTTTGGGGGGGGGGGGTTTAGCCATAGAAGCAATTTTCGGTTTGCAAGATGAATTTTGGTAGACATTTATATCCTGAATGGACCAACAACAAAAGTCTTAAACCCAAGCCTGACAAGAAATAGTCTGTCATTTTGGTCTGCAGTCGTCATTTTGAGCTCATTTTAGCCATTTTCAGGGCTGCTTCAAAAGACGGACTTCTTCTAGGGACAAAAAAAAAAAAAGTCTGATTTTGCATTTGAACTTTTAATGTATTTTCATTTCACAGGGACTTTCAAGCATTGTGTTACACTAACTTTGGAGGTTCTGTTGTAATTGTGCTGCTCTTTTTGACAACATAATGTCAGTCAAAGAGCATCTTTGATTTGAGGGAGGAGGAGAGCAGCGGTTGGCACTCACTTCAAAAAGGGCTTCTCAAACCTGAATGGGAACTCCCGCTATTAACTAATTAAAAAAAAAAAAGAAAAAAAAAGGCATTGTAGCATGCCGGAATTTGTGCCATATAGGGAATAGCCCTGGGTGGTGGGAGGGGTGTCTTTTAGTGTTTTCCAGCAAACGGGAATTGCTCGCAAAATGGATGAGACATCCTAGGAGCATGTGGAATCCCAACCTGGTTCCACGTCTGTACTTGTTTAGAGGCGGGGAGGGATGAAAATGAAATTAAAAGCACAAAATTGGCATCCCTTGCTTGGCAAACCATTTGCTCCCCGTAGTGTGGATATGCTATCCAGAGGAATTTGTGGCTTGAGGGGGTTTCCCGGGAATTCATACGTGGACAATCGTTATTAACAGTGAGTGATGGGGGGGAAAGAAAACGTTACCTGGACATTGTCCTCCGAGGTCAGCCGTCATGAGAGCGACCCTGAGGCTGAGCAGAAGGAGCTGGGAGAGTAGCAGCGATGACATCATCACCGGAAGCCTCTTTGGTTCATTCAGTCTCCCTGACAAAGTGTCTCCATGCGGGATGCTCCCTTGGCAAAAGCATCTTTCACATCTTCCCAAAACACGAAATTCTTGAAAGAGAAAACAAAAAGTCCAAAGTTGAGAGAGGAACGAGACGGGACGTTCCAGATGATCTGTAAGTGTGTGTGCGTGTGTCTGGAGAGGAATCCACTGAAGTGTGCAGAAAAGCCGTGCACCTGCACGGCCCACTTTTAAGAGGCCCCCGCCATGCAAATGAGCTTGGCTTGTCACTCACAGTTTTTTTTTTTTTTTTACTGCCTCATTCAGATACATTCGCAAAAACACGCATACGTGTTTACCAGGCTTTCAGGGGACTGTCGTTCTTAAGGCAGACATGGGTTTATGGATATTTTATGAAGGGGGGAAAAATGAATAAAATGTTTACTTTCTAGAAGAAATTGCAAAGAGGGAAATATTTTTTCTCAATTTAACTAAATGGAAATGCCATTCATCAGTTCCAGCCTCCCCACCACCCCCACAAAAAAGTAAGGTCTGGCTAAAAAAAATCCAGACAACTTTCACCACTCAAACATGTTTTATGTATTTCGAAACAAACAACGTAAATTACTTTACTGCGACTTTAAATTTGATAAAGTACAAAGATGTAGATATTGAGTCAATTATAATGTGGTGCCTGTTAAAAATAGTCAAGTCAGCTTTGATTGTCAAATATGCTCTATGTGTAACAAACAGATTTTTTTACAGTTCAAGAATTAAGTGTATTGTGTAGTACTTAAAAGCTGCACAGAATACAAATGTGATCCACAGTTGAATTTACTGTAGTTATTGAAAAAAAAATGTCCAGAAAAAGTAGTGTACGTGAAATAAAATAAAAATACTGGATTGAAATTGAAGTTTAAGCATGCTATACGGATAGCTACTAGCTTCATTGTAATATACCTGACTAGAGAGTAGTTTTTGTTTATATTTTCAGAAAACAAAAAGTAAATCAGTGATTCTCTCGCATCCTTCATGCACTGAAGAGAGCCGGCATGCCACCCCGAGTAAATACTGTACATCCTGTACAGGATGTATTTAAAATACTGCAGTCTTTATAAGAGTACGTGTGTAATAGTCCATAATGTACTGACTGTAAAGACTACCACTTCTTTGAAGAATCTTTCAAATAATATATTCTTTTCTAATTGTTTTTATTTCATCATTTTAAATGAACATTACCAAATCATATTTTGAAAACGTCAACACGGCACAAAAACAACACAAAAGCGTATTTACGATGTAAATGGACAATTTCCCTCACATATGAAGTACGGTATGTACTGTCTTTGCTCATGTTGGTTTAAAAGAAAAAGTTTCTTCCGCAGATTGATGTCGGAGGTTTTTGTTTTTCCTGACAGTTTCCAACCACATTACTGGGGCACGGGCGCCACCTTCTGGACCGGGGAAGAAAATATCACTCGACTCCAATTTACTTCCAACTAAATTGCTTCTTTATTTCAAATTTAAGCCACAACGAACTGTTGAAATGTGTTGTTTCTGCAAGATTGAGTGACAATCGGATTAAAACACTTTCATTATACAGTCAAGGGAACACAGTACATTTTAAACTAAATCTAAAAGGTTGAATGTGAGCGAGGGAGGACAAATCAAAAAACTTGACTTTTTTTTTTTTTATTCAAATGTTTAGAATGTGGTGTGATGGTGAGTAAATTTATACTATATAGATTCCCCCAATTTACGAAATTCCCCATCTTACATTCCCATGAAAATGTTCTGAAAACTTCCACCCCTCCCACATTTCAGAAATGTTTCCTTTTCATTTTCTTATCACTCGCATCCCTCGGGCACGTTTTCTTGTCCTTCATCAGTTCCTCTCGAGTCATCGGCTCAATGATGGTACCCAGTTGGGTGATCACTTTAGGTTTGGTGAGCTTTTTAACGGCGCGTTCAGTGTTCCAGGTGCGTCCCAGGGGAGAGCGCAGGGTGCTCTCAAACTGAGTGTGACTGGTGAAAGGAAACGGAAGCGTGTTCACCTGGTGAAGGCTGAGCGAGCTGTTCCTTTTCTCGGAGAGGATGACGCCGGGCAGTTTTTCATCTTTCCTGGGTGGAGGCGGGGCCGTTTTCACTCGGAACCTCCTGCGCTTGCTGCGGGAGGGCTTGAGGCCCGCCCCGCCCCACTCCCCCCAGCCGGGCAGCGTCATGTCCACCACGCTGGGCTTGTCCGCGTCCTCCTGATTCTTCTTGTCCTTCATGAATTCAGAGATGACGTCATCTCCGGCGAATGCTTCTTGAATGAGGCCCGTCTGAGTGAGCGTTTCGTCCGAGTCCTCCGCGGCCACGGCGGTCGGAGCGAGCGGGACAAGAATGGGATTTGCATCTTTGGTGAGCGTGTCTTTCAGCGTTATTCCTTTTGGTTGTTTTTTCTGCGCTTGGTCTGAGGACGGCCGCGGCTCAACGGGAGTTTGATCGGGTTGAACTGACTCCACTTGGTTGAGGAGCTCCATGAACTCCAAAGGCTGCATTTGGTCCGTCTGGCCTTCCACCAGCTGAAGAGAAGCGTCTGCAGACTCCTCAACGGGGGCCGCTTTTGCACAGACCTCTGACATTTGCCTGTCCTCTTTTTCAAATGTAAGCGTGTCAGGACCGTGCCGCATTTTCCGACGATTATCGAACTCCCGCAGCAGGGATTCTTCTTCAGTTTCCTCGACGTCACTTTCTTCCTCTTCTACATTTGCCGCAGTTTCGGTCAACTCGGCGGTCAAGTTGAGGTTGTGTGTCTCTCCCTTTGTCTCGGCAGGTTCTTCAGACAGCTTTCCTTTCATCCAGGGATTTGAATCAGTCCCCAGCGGCGCTTCGTTGACAAAATCAGGCAAGTTTTCCGGGGTTTCAGTTTCCTCGTTATCATCATTCAAAGCAATGGAGAGTTTCTGCGTCAAGTCTTTGTTGACCTCCAGCTGCTGCTGCATTGCTTTGCGAGCACTTTCGTCATATTTTGCCATGATGGCCTTGGACTTTGCCCACTTGCCGCTGTTCTGGTGTTTTAACGACATCCTTTCTTGCATCCTCGCCAATTCCATTTTGTTAATCTCCTCTAAAGCAGCCGCCGGGTCATTTTTCACCATCTCTTCAAAACGCTTGAGGAATTCTTTGCGCTTTGCTTTGTTGAGAACTCTGTGGTATTTCTTGCTCTTGATCTTCCGCTCTCGCCGGGCTTTGGCCTCGTAGTAGGTCTGCAGAGCCCTGGCTTTCTGAAGCTCAGCGCGGCGTATCTTCACCTCCAACAGACTCATCGCCTTCATGGAAGCCTCCTCGGCAGGGGTTAAAATGGGGTCATTGGTTGGTTGGTTGTTGGCAGACAGCAGGGAAAATATTTCCTGTTCAAGGGGAGTTTGTGCTTTCCACGCCGTGACAACCCTCTCCATAGGTTTAGGGCCAGATGGCTCCCGATTCAAAGGGAAAATAAGTTGTTCAGCCTTCCGGTTCTGTTGAATCACACTCTGCCACTGCGTGACCTTTGTTGCTACTTTCGTAAAGGCCACATCTCTTTGGATCCTCTCACTTTCCTGCCTGCTAAGGGGGCATTCAATTGTTTTATTATTTTGCTGGAGTTTTTTCAGCTGCTTCTTGGCCTGGGTCGAGACAGACGCTACTTTGTGCATGGACTTCATTAGATCGGTCAAGTTTATTTTGTCGCCCTCACCCTCTGCATTGACCGTAAATTCCGACTTCTGGATGGCCGGCTCCGATCGCTCCCCGAGCTTTTTCTTCCGTCTCCCTCCTCCGAGGGCGCTGATAGCCTCCACCAGCTTTTGTCGTTTGCGTTCATCATCGCTGTCTTGCTCAGAGTCACTAGCCATAGTCTCATCAGCTTTGGTGAAGCCATCTTCGACGAAATCGTAGCTTACGTCTGGGTTGTTGTCTGTGACGCTCGGACTCTTCATGTGACCCTTCGTTTTCCGTTTTTTCGCCGAAACCTTTGCCATTTTACAGCTAACAACACTGTAACTCGGTTGACTCAACAACACACGTGCGACGACGACCAATACTTACTACTTCCGCCGCCCAGTCTTCTTCTTTCAATTACGAGCGGATTGCAAGTAACATACAGGTGCATACCGCCGCCTACTGTACAAGAGTGTGTACATGGGTTTCACCAGGTCAGAATTCCGGTACCTTGTAATTATGCAAACATAAACATGTGTAGCTAACTCACCGATTGGCCGGCTTGCGAACAGGCCGCTTCATAGATATAAAATTAAATAGTTACGACACGCCCCATAGCTGAGCCTTACCTCCGGCGACGCTATTCAAGAAGGGGCAATGACTTCAGCGTATGTAAGTGGACGGCAAGAAAACAGTTTTGTTGTTCTCCACAAGGTTGCCGAAGAACGATGTAAAATTACTACAAGATAATTGAAAGTTACTTTACACGTGTAAAATATATTATATTACATATATCGTATAACAGGCTTTTTTCAGTATTCTGTATTGCTAGCGCACGTTTTGGCGTTGACAAATAAAGTAACGGGTATCGGTTGCGAAATTTGCACATTACGACTTTTAATTTCAACGTCAGTTCATTGCTTTTGATGGGAATGTTGTACTTCCAACATGGCCGCCACGTAGGCACGTCGATATGGCGAGAATCGACAGCGCGCTCGTCAGTGAATAGTCTTCACGTTTATGAAGACTGTAGTCATGGAGATGAATAACCAATAGAGGGAGTCTCGGGTGGTTGAGCACATGCGAGACCCAGCCGTCACGTCTTGCATTAATTTACACGTAGACGTTTTGATGTTGGTTTGTTCGACTCTAATAAATTAATACATTTGATATGGCCCGGTTTGTTACAAACATCAGACCTACAGTTGAGCTCAGGATAAATCCGTTCGAGACAACCGAACTTCTGTTGCCCTTGATAGCTCGATTAGGAAAAAAAAAAAGAAACAGTATACATGTCGCCCACTTTATCTTGAGACAGACTTAAGGGAACACTAACAAATCTGAGTACCAAACTATATTTATTGTATACAGTAGTAAAAGACCACAAATAATGTACAAATCAGTAGAGAAACAAACATGTCAAAAGACCTGGGCCCCTTGCTTTTTCTTTTTTTAATTTTTAGCAAATCCAGCTCAGATGGGGGCTTACTTGTTGTTGCGCGGGATAAAGTGTGCTCTCGTTTTAACGAAGAAGAAACAACAAAATCTGGGCTGGTGACTGAGTATGAGCGAAAGTTTCCATTGTAAATGTACTGAACACACAAGAACACAGGGGGCGGGGGCTCAATGCCATCTATTTCTAATAATAAAGGTACATTTACATTAAAAGGCAGGGGCTTGGTTGCAGCCTTAAAAACGATTTATATCTGTATGGTTTAAAGCTGCGTGTATTTTCATTCCCATTTTACAGTATTTCTAATTCAAGCTGAAGCTTCAATCTGAAGACCGAATGAGATGAGCACTAGCCCCTAGTCCCAACCCGCCCACATCACCTATCGTTGAGTTTGCACTAAATGTTCTTCATCATCGGCCATTTCACATATATGAAAAAAAAAAAACCCTAAAGTGAGGAGGAGTTCACAATAATATAATGACTCTATTCATCCATTTGCTGCTCTTACTGTGTGAATTAATACTTGGCGGTACAGAAGCAATATCGCTCCCCTGGACAGGCAGAAACCAAAGAAGTGACTAAGCGAAAAATAAAATTTTCCTTTGAATGCCTTGTTTGGTCATATTGAAGTTGTGATACATCCATTCTGAACCGTCTGTAGAGTCAGATTTAATAAAAAAAAAAAAAAAAAAATGAAGAAATACATTTAGCAAAAGCAGCTAAAAAGCAAAATATTTTGACCGTGGCAGGATCACACCGCCCTCCCTAAAAACTAGCCGATTCCAAAAATATTCACTGGCGACAAAGTTGTTGAATGGTTGGTCCGAATCTGACGCCCAGAAAGTGTCAGAAAACCCTCAAATACCCCACCGAAAAAGGAATATTACAACGGACGTAGCTTAAGTGAATAACATGAACAATAATAATAATAATAATAATAGCTGAGAGGAGCGATGGAATAGGGTGATGTCAGAGGGCTTGGGTCTGTCAACAGGGTTGGAGGGAGCTTAGCAGCGGCCGCCCGTCTGCTGCTGGAAAACGTCTATGGTGTCTTCGTCTTCCATCTCCAGCTGGAAGAAAACACAAGCAGGCTGGATCAGCTTTGACAGAAACAGTTCCTCAGATACAGTCACCCCCTCCTGATCACACTTGCAGTTCGCCCTTGGCAAACTCACCCAGCGGGAGATTTTTGAGTGTGGAATTGCGGAAACAGAATATGGTATATAGCAAGCATTAAAGAGCAGGGTCTTTATATGAATGCAGAGCCGCTGTTAGCCGCTGAATCTCTTTAGGTTTCTCCCCCTCCCCCCCAAAAAAAATTCTCCTTCCTCAAACGTTTGTCAGAAGCATTTTGACTCGACACCATTAGATGTATGGCTGCATCTGCAACAACTGGTTTCAAAACAAACAGGGAATGGACCGTGATGCTCATGAAAACTTCATATTCTACTCACTCACTGGTGGCATTCCCTCTCAAACGAAACCGCCACACGATCAAACAAATTGGCGCTTAACTTTTGAGCTTCCACTGTAACTGACAGACTGTCCATAAGCGAGAAAGTTTCGGGCTCACTGACCTGCGAAGGCGTATCAGTCTCGTTGATGGGCTGCCCGTCAAACCTAAATCTGATCTGCCTTATCGAGAGTCCCTGTATGAATGAGACAATAACACGCAAGCACAATTGCACTGTAAGCACCATAGAAAAAATACATTAAATAGCTGCATTGAATTGGAGATCTTCAGATCGGAATCAGACCTCTTCAAAATGTGGAATATGGATATGATTCTTTCTTTTTTCCCAAAGTAAAGCAAATCTAAACAAAGAATTATCAAAAATAATTATCCATTTATTTGGTAATCAAGTAGTTGTTGAGGCCAGCCAGTATTTGGTTTTGTGGGTTTAAACCCCACCAAAAGTAATTGAATCTCACCTGTCGTTCGCAGTACGCCTTCATGAGTTTACTGAGGGGTGTGTGCCTTTTGATTTTGAACTGGACCACCGAGCCATCCTGTCCCGCGACCTTGAGGTTGATGTGGTCGTTCTCGGTTTTAACGCCCTCCTGCGCACATCCAAGGTGAGGTGGACATTTTGTTATATTCAAAACATTATTCAGCGAGCAGAGGAAGAGATACAGCAAGGTAATTTGGCATCATCATTTCAATTCCAGTCAACCCTTACGTACTGTTCGCAAAAGACAGCAAATGAAAAAAATACCCAGCGTGATTCTTTCACCCTGAAACTTGATGACTTTTCCAAAAGTGACGCATAATACACTCACAAAAAAAAAAAAAAATCATCATCAATCATCATTCTATATGCACAGACTAAGAATTAGGCGCCCCCGATCTGTGTTTTATGCTGCAGATGACGTTCCCAATCCCATGGATCAGCTAGACAAATTTTTGAGTTGCTCAGTGCTCAATGATCAGTCAATTATTTTTTTGATTGATTTTTTTTTCAATTAATGAATCAGATTTGATCAAACTTCCATCTCTCTATTATTCAAAAAGAGGACACATATATTGTAACTCAGTTTTTGTTTTTCGTCTATAACATCTGCAGTGTTAAGTAGAAGAGGACGGGATGCTATGCTGCACACAGGCTGGCATTGACTGACATATGCCCATTAACACTTTTCCTCACAAATCATCCGATCACGATCGGTGGCTGATCGATCACAACTACGATTGTCAAATTTGACCAATGTCTACGAAAATTTATTTTAGATTTATGTTAAATCCACCCCAAAATATTGCTGTGTTGGTTGTGCGATAGTGGTAATTATTTTCCTAATGTAGCTTGAAACACTTCAGAGAACTGTCTCTGTTCCAACCACATGAGCTCAAGGTCCAGCAGAAGCACGCAGTTATCGGTCTGGGAAAATTCATGGGGGAAATCTTTTAACAATGAAAGACTAAAACAGCTTAAAAATGATCCAACAAAATGAACATAAGCAACGAAACTCATCCATAGGTCGGGGGCTGCCTTGCCACTAGAGGCGCAGGATTTGCATCAACAAAACAAGAATCTGCAACGTAAGCAAATAAAAATACACTTTCACCTTTTTTTCTGAAGCATTGTTTAACAACAAATAATCACGGCTACATTTTAAAAGATGAAGTTCGTCATGGACTACAGGCAATTATTATGAGGATACTAACGGTTGTCTGTGTACAAAAAAAATTAACAGTATGTAAGGGGTGAATTGGTCAAGGTGAAGCAGAAAACGTCACTAGGTGCAAATCTAAAGTAATATTAAACACAATGGAGAAGGCCTAAAACGAGAGCCATGGCGCTAACGTTAGCATCGTAGCTCCGAGGCTAGCAGGTGGAGACGTCAGCCCTTCACAAACGATGCAATTTGGCCCCCAACTAGCCAAGCTAGTAGGCTCGTTTGGTCCCAAGGTGCGACAAAAAGCACCGGTGCCAATAAAAAGCGCAACACTCCGGCTCCGCAGCTTGAAACGTTGTGTTAATTTGGAAGTATGTGCTAGCCGTTAACCTATTGTGACGGCGAGGGTTTGCGGCAGTTGCGCACATCGCGTGGTGCCGTTTCGACGAAGACAAAAAAAAAATCTAAAATAAATACAATAAAAATCCCCAAACGACAACTATTAGCGATTTGCAATTCACAGACGTCGGTAGTGAAACCCTCAGGAACGATGGTGGATCTAAACAGAAATAAGCGCGAACTCTCATTCATTTGCGAAACAAACACTGCGCCAATTGAGAGAAACGTGCAAAAGCCAGGCCATTTTCCCATGGCACAAAAACGCTTCGCCAAGACAGCTTTTTTTTTTCTCCAAATATCGTGAACACTCACCTTTGGTTTTTCCTCTGACGTGGCTCTTGGATTTCGTGATGCGGTTTTACAGGAAGCGAGAGGATTAAAAAAACGCCGGTAGCAGCGTGTTTGTATTTTATTTTGTCTTCCTGCCGCCTTCTGTCCTCGCTTCTCCTCCTCCGGTGACGGGGGCGCGCGTCGCACCGCTCTCGCGAGGAGATGATTGGACGCTCAGCGACACGTGTCCGCTAAGTCGCGGGAGCGCGGAGGCGGGGGCGCGCAGCCACCCTCAAATCCTCGGCCACGAGCACAGGGAAGATTGTTGGGAGAGGAAAAGGCTTCCTGAACCTCCCCTTGAGATGAAATCGAATTGGTTGTAAACTTTTAATGAGCACAAATAGGAATAAACCAAAATTTTATTTATAAATGTTTTATTTTTATTCAACACAAAGATAAACCTGCTTTCATGGAGGATTACAGAAATTTGTGACTATTTCCAGTGAAGGATTTCGAGAATTTCTAATTAAACAGATCTCTAAACAATTAATCGAATGCCAAAACAATGACAGATTCATTTGATGAGAGTAGTTCGTTGCACTGCTACTATACAGTGAGAATTATACAACATAATCTGTCTGACTGACAGTGCCATGCTTGTTTTGCACTTTAGTGTTATACTGCTGCAATTACTGAGAAAATAGAATACTTTCATGAGTGTGCAGTGTTTTTTTTCCCTTCTAAAGATTTAATTGTAAATGTACATGCTGTATGTACATTGGAACTTTTGATTTATCTGAGACCAGTTGGTTAATTCATGTATAACAGACCTGTTCATATTTATTGTAATTCAGAGATTTATTGATTGTGTTTGTTAAAAAAAATAGAAGAGGACCTTGTTAAAAAAAAAAAATCACATATGAATCTGCAACATTGAAGAAAATCATCAATTAGATGATTTTTCAAACTCATCTGAACCTTTGCCCCACAAACATAACACAAAGTGTGTTTGGTATTAGTTTTATTTTTTTAATTCCTCCACAGCGTGTATCTTTACAAGTCGTATTGCTTCCTGAAAAAACGCACATTCACCTTAAATTAAGAAACATTTTAAAAGCGGACAAAAGTGGAACACCCCCCCCCAACAACTAAAAATAGGTCCCTAATGCCACAATTCAAAGATCAACAACTGCTCAAATACATTCAAGGATGCTTGCAAAGCAGGTATGGAAAATTTCCTTCAAGAAATGGTTGCTCAGCAGCCAAACGGGACAATAAATTATCAAGACATCAACTTTTTAAGACTGACTACAGGCCAACAGACATCACATATGGTCAGAAAAATGTTGCAAAAAGAAGAAAGAGCCTACAGAAAACTAATGGTGACAATGTTGGCTGTGAAACAATCCGAAAAATAAACGGATTCCTGGGAAATCACCGCAGCTACACAAGTCTCGTATGAGCATGTATGAGCAGATGTCACAATCGAACTTGCGTTTGAGGATGTTCAAGCAGCAAATGGGACCGTGCAGTGGAAAATAATAGCGTTCGATGACGGCCTCTTGGCTCGTTGCACAACATTCCTGTTCATTGGCTGATCGACGTCCTAAGCATTTATTGTATAGTTATTAAATTAGGAAAAAAAAAATGACATTACTTCATTGCTGTTAAATAAAGTCCTGGTGTATGAATCCTCTCATCCAAATCGGGAATAGGGATTTGGTCCACTTAGGCCTAGTGGCAAACGCACAAAGTTAGAGTGTTACCAATATTTAAAAATAATCATAATAACAATAATAAATAAATAAAAAGTATCAATCCACTGAGCAAGAAGCCTTACCATATTTCTTCCTGATATCATCATGTCTCTGTTTCATCTCAGCCCGCCTGTGAAGACAAAAGCACAAAATCTTGACCACAAACTGCTTCCGGGTAAAATTAGTGTGACATCCTCATACAAAATGATCTCAATCAAAAATAAGGTTGCCAGGAACACCTCTAGGACTACAAATTAGTCGTCACAAATGGGACAGGGTGAGAGACTCATGATTTTAACACACGGTATTCATGAATGTGTGCTTTTTTGAGGGGCCATTTTGAATCCACGTCACAACTTGAACGCAAATTTACCTCACCTGTCCATTCATACGTTCACAATGTGACCCTTGGGGGCAAGACTGAATATTCCATGATGGTATATTATTTCTATTTTGTCTGTCCGTTTCCCTTTCTCTCTCTCTCTATGGGACTTATGTATTCGTATTTTCTATTCATGATTATTCTACATTAGCATATCGTTAGAGTTGGGCCAAAAAAAAAAAAAAAAAAAAAATAAAAATAAATAAAAAAATCTCGTGAACGTGGCGTCTCCCGATGCAGTAAAGGACGTTCAAGCATTGAGTGGCACAGAGAAAGCCTAATTAGGTTACAATTACATCGTCGAATACTTTACAAAAGTTTCCAAAGAAAATATCGCAAGACTCGTAATTGCTTCGATGAACAGCGGCTTTAAAGCTGAAACGTCATTTGTTACGATAACTTCGGTCTTCATTTTGGAAAATCCAAAAATAGGCATTTGAAGGATCCGCAAAGGCCAAAGGTCACAATCGCTGGTCAAGATAATGCACATCATGCGATTTTAATCTCTTTATATGATAGGAATGCCGATCCACAACAAGATATTTCTGCATTGTTTAAATATCATAGTTTCATGAAACATGAGCGGTTGATAAAGGTTTGTTATTGTTGTCATCTGACTGATGACTTGCTGACTTTTGTTGACAGCACACTTGCCTTGTAGAAAGCCTAATTAGGTTACAATTACGTCGTCGAATACTTTACAAAATATCGCATGACTCGTAATTGCTTCGATGAACAGCGGCTTTAAAGATGAAATGTCATTTGTTACGATAACTACAGTCTTCATTTTGGAAAATTCAAAAATAGGCATTTGAAGGATCCGCAAAGGCCAAAGGTCACAATCGCTGGTCAAGATAATGCACATCATGCGATTTTAATCTCTTTATATGATAGGAATGCCGATCCACAACAAGATATTTCTGCATTGTTTAAATATCATAGTTTCATGAAACATGAGCGGTTGATAAAGGTTTGTTATTGTTGTCATCTGACTGATGACTTGCTGACTTTTGTTGACAGCACACTTGCCTTGTAGAATTTTGTGAAGTTTTCATGGTGAACACTTTAAAGACTGGCAGTCCAAGTGTTTAGTCAATTTAACTTTAATTGAAGTCGATGAGTTGTCTCACAACATACAATGCCCGTTATCTCAAGAAACCACTGTACATCTGATGTCTGAGGAGTGTGGTTCTTGACTTGCTAAACCGCTTTGAGGTCAGTAACTGACTTACTCTGTTGAGTCACGGCGCGGTACAAATGGAATTGACTTGGGTTTGCAGGCGAATGACAATCACCAAGCCAAGTGTACGACTTACCCAACATTTTCACACTTGCAGCAGCAGAACATACAGACCAGCAGGGCGATGATGATAACGCCACCCAGTACCGCAAGAGTGATGATCAAGTTCTGGAAGTTCACTGAGCCAGCAAGAAAGCGTAAACACACGTGAGTCCAGATTTTGAACAGCAATAAAAGGACATGGATAGCTACGGTAACCAAAACATCAGCGGTCTTTATTTTATTTTATTTTTTTATCATCACCTCATTCCTTTCAAGGAGTTTGGAGCCTACCCCAGATACAACATACAATGCCCGTATCTCAAGAAACCACTGTACATCAGATGTCTGAGGAGTGTGGTTCTTGATTTGCTAAACCGCTTTGAGGTCAGTAACTGACTTACTCTGTTGAGTCACGGCGCGGTACAAATGGAATTGACTTGGGTTTGCAGGCGAATGACAATCACCAAGCCAAGTGTACGACTTACCCAACATTTTCACACTTGCAGCAGCAGAACATACAGACCAGCAGGGCGATGATGATAACGCCACCCAGTACCGCAAGAGTGATGATCAAGTTCTGGAAATTCACTGAGCCAGCGAGAAAGCATAAACACACGTGAGTCCAGATTTTTAACAGCAATAAAAGGACATGGATAGCTAAGGTCACCAAAACATCAGCGGTCTTTATTTTATTTGATTTTTTTTTTTTTTTTTTTATCATCAAACTCATTCCTTTCAAGGAGTTTGGAGCCTACCCCAGACATCTTCGGGCATTACACCCTGAACTGGTTGCCAGCCAAACGCAGGGCACACGTAGCTGAACAACCATTTGTGCTCACAATGACACCTAGGGACAATTTAGAGTGTTCCATGAACCTGCCTTGCATGTTTTTGGAATGTGGGAGGAAACTGAAGTACCCAGAGAAAACCCAAGTAGGCAGGGTGAGACAGTGCAAACTTCACACAGGAAGGCCGGGGCCAGATTCAAACCTGCGACTTCTGCACTGTGATGCGCACTTGCTAACCAGTCGAACACTGTGCCGCTTATGCCACAATTGTGGGGTAGAATTTTGTAATGTTTTCGTCACACTTCACATTAACTTCCACTTCGTCTGAAGAGCCCTGAGGGTGTTTACACATAAATACAATAGAAGAGCGCAAAACTGTTGGAATGGGAATAAAGACTTGTTTGTTCACCCAACATCTCTACATTATTTTTTTTTTTTTTTCGCTTGCACAAACTTTTTTTTTTTTTTTAAAGAAACTTCTGCCTGGGGCGCTGTCAGATGACCAACTCTTTCACCAATCCAACGGAACCGCTGGAGACTCCATTTCCCCAACCAAACAGAGCCTGGCAGTCACATGACGGCACATGAGTCTCCGCAGCCTAACACCGAAGCAAATTTGTGAAATGTTCCAGAAAAAAAAAATGGAGTGACTCGCAGTCAGAAGAGGCAAGAAAACCTCCAGACATATATTTAAATGATGTTTACCTTACAGAATACAGTATTAAAATGACATGCTAGGTCATGCGCTGTCTACGTTTTAGCCTACAAGGAACTCGACTTTGAACTTGAGAAAATAATTTTTTTCATGTAATCTCTACCTTTCAAACCTATTGTGCCGTTTGCAAACAAATACAATTCACTTCCTGTGGCTAAATTTGCCTTCGACGTTGTAGCTTTCATTTGAAATTGTTTGAGATAAAGTGATATTGTTGGGCAATACCCGAATTGGCACATTTCTACTTTACATTTTTGTCTATTTGACAATCCAACGTAAACGCTGGCGACTCCATTTCCCCACCCAAACAGAGCCTGGCAGTCACATGACTGCACATGAGTCTCCGCAGCCTAACACCGAAGCAAATTTGTGAAATGTTACAGAAAAAAAAATGGCGTGTGACTCGCAGTCAGAAGAGGCAAGAAAACCTCCAGACATATATTTAAATGATGTTTACCTTACAGAATACAGTATTAAAATGACATGCTAGGTCATGCGCTGTCTACGTTTTAGCCTACAAGGAACTCGACTTTGAACTTGAGAAAATAATTTTTTTCATGTAATCTCTACCTTTCAAACCTATTGTGCCGTTTGCAAACAAATACAATTCACTTCCTGTGGCTAAATTTGCCTTCGACGTTGTAGCTTTCATTTGAAATTGTTTGAGATAAAGTGATATTGTTGGGCAATACCCGAATTGGCACATTTCTACTTTACATTTTTGTCTATTTGACATTCATGCTCAGAGTAGATTTACTAAAGTCATGATTTGGAAGGCTGCTGTTGACATTTACTTGAGTCATAAGGTACTAAAGTAATGGAATTTCTTTGCATAACTTGAGGAAAATTACTGGCTAATCTGCCCACCTTAGACTAAGTAAAGTCAATACATCACACTTTTGTGATTGGTGGCAGTAGACAAATACTGGAATCACATTACCGATAGACTGCATAGGCGTGTGACCAGTAAGTACGTGTGTGTGTGTGTGTGTGTGTGTGCGTGTGTGTGTGTGTGTGTGCAATTCACTTCCTGTGGCTGAATTTGCCTTCAACGTTGTAGCTTTCATTTGAAATTGTTTGAGATAAAGCGATATTGTTGCACAATACCCGAATTTGCACATTTCTACTTTACATTTTTGTCTATTTGACATTCATGCTTGGAGTAGATTTACTAAAGTCATTATTTGGAAGGCTACTGTTGACATTTACTTGAGTCATATGGTACTAAAGTAATGGAACTACTTTGCGTAACTTGAGGAAAATTACTGGCCATCTCAGACTAAGTAAAATCAATACATCACGCTTTTGTGATTGGTGGCAGTAGACGAATACTGGAATCGCATTACTGATAGATTACATAGGCGTGCCTAATCTTATGACCAGTAAGTACGCGTGTGTGTGTGTGTGTGTGTGTGTGTGTGTGTGTGTGTGTGTGTGTGTGTGTTGTGTATTGCGTGAGTGTATCGTCTTACTCCAACACAGGCCCCAGCGTGCATCATAGAGCGGACAAAGTGAATGCGGTGGCAAAATGGTCCTCACTGGGTACGTCACACACGCCTTGGTTTTGATACACCACAAACACTGTCGGTTAAAAAAAAAAAAAAAAAAAAAAAAAAAAACTGAATAAAAAATGATTCATGACTGCTGAGGAACTTAAAAGATTGACGATAAAGGAGGGAGGGAGGGACAGAATGAGATCAGTTACTGCTCAAACCGGTCGGACAGGTGCGGACATGGCGGAGTCTTTCGTTTGGCCTCTTTCGAGTTCCTTTACAGGACGCAAACAAACAAAATAAGACAAAGGCTTCCTTTAGGCTTGCTTACCGTCACGTTGGTCAGACATTGCTCGCAGCTGGTCCCGTTCATGGACTCGCAAACTGTGTCGGGAGAGGATTAAAAATAAACAAATACAGTGTTGACATTTTTCACTTCTCTAGACAATGTAACAGTGATGTGTGAATACCGCAGGGGGCAAAAGTACACACACATTGGTGTTAAAGGAGAAGTACAGATACTTACGAAAATGAATAAATAACTAAATAATCCTGTAAAAGTAGTCAAATGGTACAACCTCTGAAACGCATTCAAGTATATTTAAGTAAAAGATGAATCCTTACTGTCTTTTATACATGTTTTTCACTTTTGATGCCTTGGCACAACAACAACAAAACTTTACTGAATGACTGAATTAGGAAAAACTTCCCTACCTGCAATTTATTTTTTCCGGATAACATGTTTTTAACCCCAAAAGCTTTTTTATACATGTTTTTCACTTTTGATACCTTGGCACAACAACAACAAAACTTTGCCAATGTTATGAAATGACTGAATTAGAAAAATCTTCCCTACCTGCAATTTATTTTTTTCCGGATAACATGTTTTTAACCCCAAAAGCTTGTGGTTTTGACATTCGCCACAAATTATTTTGGTGACCGAGAACATTAAACTTTTCTCTTAAGTAAGGCCACGAATGGGGAATATCTTGCTTCTCTGAATCTGTCGCCGTCATTGATACTCCTTAATTTACGCCCCCACCCTCCTAAACCTTCACGCTGCTTTTTTCTACCTTACAAGTCTTCAAGATTTCAATCAATTGATCAAGATCTCAACCACTGAAAGAGGAGATTGCACAAAATATTGGGAACTAAAGTAAAACGTTGTCAGAAAGCAATACTCAAAGTACAGAAAACACTGTTCACGTACAGTAACAAAGTATTTGTACTTTGTTAATTCCTAACACTGCCATGAGGAATAAATAAGGTTCTTGGGTTGTTTGTCGAGTCCTGCTCATCCTATTGGGGATTTCTCCATGGAGACAAAGGGTGGAGTAAGAATTTGTGTTCCCTTCAAGGAGACATAATTGGCCAACAGCTTGCTTTAAACACATTTTCTGACATTGACATCAGGAATTGAAAAGGACACGTTTGTTATCTCGAAGAAAATAGACGAGCAAAAACATGGCGTGACTTTAGTGGTTTGTTTTTGAAGGTTTACGACAAAATTGAATTTGAATTTTGAATACAACTTTATTGTCAAATGTGCTGTACAGCACAGATGAAATTTCTTCCCTCTCAACATAAAACAAGAGGAGCCGCTGCGGGTGTCCGCGCCGCCATCAAAAGAAATATGGCCGAAACTAACAAACCAATCAAGACAACAACATTTCCTTTATTTTTCATTAGTAAGGACACTGACGCCATACGACTTTATATTTTCATTCGAGCTAACGCCGGTAAATTGTTAGCAAACACGCGAATAAGAAGGGGAAAAAAAAACAACTTCTTCTTCTTACCTACGCCAGGTGCGGCACTTTGTGCTAAAACTGTCGTCGAAGAGAACGCAAGAAGGAGGACAACCGGGGCCAAACTCCTTAAATCCATCTGATTTGATTGAATAATTCAGATATTCCTTCGTTCGTGCTGTGAGAACGTCGTTGATCGTTCCTGTGAGTGCAGGAGAGGAAGACTGACCGTCTCGCTCGGGTTCTGAACGCGAATTTGCCGAGAAGAACCAGTCAAAATTGTGACACGCACACCGAGGAGGCGTGTTGCGACTACTTCGCAGTGAGGAAATGCTCGAGACTATTTGACTGCGTCATCCAATCAAAAAAATGACGAAATATTTAGTTTTAATCCACGTTTGTAATACTTTTGGCAAAAGTAAATCCTCTATTTTTTTGTTTAGGTGTTGTTAATTATGATACAGATTAAAATCAAATAAAAGTAGAATAAATATAATTTGAAACGTAAAATACTTGGCATTTAGAATTGAATGAGAAAATGCAACGCCTCTATTGTAATTGCTTCATCTTAAAAAACAGTTTCGAAACTGTACAACTAATATGATGTAATGGATGTATTCTTGGTTTTTTTTTTTTTTTTTTAATACAGTACGTACTACACTAGCCTAACATTTCGCCGTCAAAATGTGTCAGACGTTTGGGAAACACGACAAACCGTAACAACACCAAAGCAAATGATTTAAAACAAAGGTTAAAAAATGCCAAACTATAAACACAGGTCATGATCTGAATGTTTGCATGGCTTCAATGTAATTGATATCAGTCACAAGAAGTGCACTTACATCTGAGAAGAATCCCAATAATTTATTAAAGCATTTTTTTCAATTCAGTTCAAAATAAAAAATAACACATATTTCTCTTTTCTTGACCAAGCACAACGTTTAAAGATGATAGTAAGCCGAACATGAAAACGTAACAATAATTATAAATAAATAAAACGACCCACGCTGGCCGCCTGCGGCTGATGACAGAACAATTGTTTTTTTTTTCCCGCTGCTTGCTTAATTTCCTGTTGGGTTAAGCATGAGTTACAGACCGAAGCTAGTACACATAGAACAGGCGGCTCCCAGGGTCCTTGTTATGTTATGGCTTCTTCAGATTTGCGCTCATTTATTGCCTAAAACTCAAAACTGGATGGAAACATTCTTTTATCACTTTGCAATACATCATGGGCCATCGCGATCACTCAACACATTGAGGTTCTGGAAGGTCATCTACAGTGGATACAAAGGGATCCTGATCATACCTCTCGTGCTTTTAAGAGGTGCTCAAATTTTTGGAATACCAAAATGAAAATCTTTGGGGTGGCCTGAATGGGACTGTGCACGAGAAGAGATGCCTTCGCTGTATCACCCGCAGCTCCTGGGTGAGGCATCCTGGGACAGAACCCTCCGGGTCTTGAAGGACTGAGGACCTGGGATGGCTCCTCCGAGTGTTCTAGCAGAATTACTGGGGGAGGGGATGGGTTCTAGTACCCGTTCGGAGTCCCCCCCCACCCCACCTCAATTCCTCAGAGACATCCCCCCCTGGGTCCTGGAGGAAATACCCCCATCGGTCTAAAGATAGGATACCCTACTTGGGTCCTGGTCCTACAAGGTCCTGGTGGGTTCTAGGGGAGAAATACCCCACCCAGGACCCAGACCTAAATCCTATTAAAAATCTATAGCATGGATCCACTGTGGGTGTTCTATTAAAAAAAAAAAAAAAATCAATATTCTCTGATAAATTGGTGGTTTTGACCTCATTAGTTCTCAAGTTAAAGTTCGAACCAATCTGCAGACAATACGGCAGAAATGGCCTGGACATGACCTCATTAGTTCTCAAGTTAAAGCCAATCTGCAGACAATACGGCAGAAATGGCCTGGACCCGTGTCACATGATGCAATGACATCACTGTCAGTCTAACCATTCACACATAGCAGCACTCATGTTCTGCAAAAATTTCTGCGGCTTGACAATTTTACATATTTCCTCAAATAGTGGCCAGATGGGGAGTTAATTTACTCAACTGCAGATGGGAGGAGGCGAATATCTCCCCAAAACAAGAACATTGCAGAGTGGGTACACACCATTTTACTGGCGTGCGTTAAGGCCCGGTGCCTTCGGCAAGATTGGAAGACGCTACGCTCACTGTTGGTTGCTGCTGTTTTGGTTAGCAACACAGTAGAATTGAGCATCGTTAAGTCTTTAACTCTTGTGTGTGAAAAATAGCATCAATGAACTGCAGTAACTACCCACTGAGGGAGACATTTGTTTGTTTTAGGTGGATGACAACAAAAATATATATGCTGATTCCACAATTTGAGGAAATATGGTATGCACCATTTGAATCAGTATTTTTTTTTTAAATACACAACAGCCCTCCTCCATCAACACACTCATCAACACAGTATGTTACTAAATACATAACCTCATCCCTCCCTCCCATAAAAAGTCCCCATGCTTTTTTGATTCCCTTTAACACACTATCACAACATCATTTGCTTAGTCATATAAATACAGCTCATTTCCGAGGAATACACTTCTTCTCTTCGTTTCTTTTTCAGTATAATGCTGTTTGGATTACAATGTGATACACGCACGCACACACACGCACACACAGCAGCATTCCACACACAACACTTTTAACACGCACGCACACACACACGCGCACACACAGCAGCATTCCACACACAACACTTTTAGCTGAGAGGTTGTTGGACAATAAGAATAGCAGGATCAGAAAGCAAAGTCACATGGAAACACGTACGGATAGTTTGGTGCACTTACTGTATGCCATTTTTGCTAAAAAGAAAAATAACAGTCAACATGACCCGACAAGCGTGTGCAGAACTAATAGCATTAAGAAAAAAATCCAAACAATGATAAAGTCATCCAAACATTTTGTTTCTCTGTGAGTCACATGAATGGCACTGCCAGTGAATGACACTCTTTAAATTGCTCATATCTTACACTAGAGGTGTCACATCGCCTTTAGCGTAGATCCTCTACAGATCGTGCAGTGCTGTGACCGCTGAAAATTCAATAACTCTTATTACGTGTCATTATACAGTACAAAAACAATACAACTCGGTTCACTTTGTGTTTGAATATACAGTCAAAGGACACGCCATGTGAGTGGAATGCGTTATATCACATTGGTGGTCTTCCTTGAAATTGGTTCAGAAGCATTCCAAGTAGCTTTCTTTTTGGCTGTAGTTTCTTCTGATGGCCACACGGTGGCACCGGTGAGTGAATGTCTTCTTTTTTACTCCCTTGTCCAAAAAGAAGAGACCCAACCCGCCCCCCCCCACCCTTCAAGGACAGGGGTGATAGAAGTGATGTCACGTAAAAAAAAGACAGAGTGACAAAAGTAAGCAAGAATTCAACACTGTAACTTAATAAGAGTGAGGACAAATGCACGAGTAGAGAAAGAGGTTGAAGCAGAATGTCTGGCAGTGCAACACAGGGGCTTACCTCCACCCCCCTAGTGGAGTCCTAAAAGGGAGCCATACCCTGGGCCTTGTTTGTTTGTTTGTTTGTTTGTTTGTTTGTTTGTTTGTTTGTTTGTTTGTTTGTTTGTTTGTTTGTTTGTTTGTTTTTCCGACAGACTGACAGCCTAATAACTGACGGACGGATGAAATTTACTGACGTCCTAAAATAGCGGTGACCAACTAAAATTTTGCGATGATGGAAGCGCAGTTAAAAAAATCGATGAAGGACTGATGATTACAGTTTGGCTCGGCCCAAAATAATGACGTTGATGGCTGCCGCTGGCGAATGAATCAAAGACCAGCAAAATGTATTGTCGCGCCCACCTCTGGACGTAAGCCCTCCTTACTGGGTCCAAGGAGGCAGACCTCCTAATGTCTTGTGTGGGAGACTGTCGCTGAATAATTTTAATGTAGGCCCCACCCCATTCTCAGAGAAAGCCCCGTGAGGTCCTCGGATGGAGCCCCCAAGAGTCATTATTCGAAGTAGGACAGGACAGCTCATGGGTGCTTTGTGCTTGAGGCCCACAGAGAAGGAAATCTGACCATGTGAAGTGGCCTTGAACATCTACATGCAAGTGCTACAACTGGGGTAATGTAATTTACGTGAAAGGACTGCCCTCCAAAATCCAAGTTCATGTGTCATGCTTGAATTAAAAAAAAAAAAAAAATCCCAACATGTATTCAACCCAGTTCGTTTGACCCCTGTGACTTCAACGTCCACTTTCCTCGCTTGGCAGGGACTGGAAAGACTGCCTCTGTTCTCTGATTGGCCAACGGCGATCACCTGACCCACGAGCTGGCAACGCTGGTGACGGACATGATGCTGCAGCGTTTTTTCACCATCATATTAATGTAAGCCCTCATGATCTTGGTGATCTCGCCAACCTAAAGACACATTTCACTGTTAGGGGAGTGACCACTAAAAAAAAAAAAAAAAAAAAAAAAAAGACGCAGTGAAAATTGAATAAAATTCACCAGTGGCGTCTCAAAGAACATCTCCCTCTCGTCCACGATGATCTTGTAGGTGTAGAGCTGTGAGGCACCGAAGAAAGTGATGTGCTCGTACTGGAACGTCTCCAACGGTTTGGGTTCACCTCGCTTGTACACCGAGACGTTATCCGCGCTAACGCTCAGCCACAGATCGTGAGGGAAACCACCTTCCTTACACTACAGAAGGTTCACATCGTCAGATCACCAAAACTCAAACAAAAGTTGCGTGTGGCGTATTCGATCGTTGTCTTTACCTCCACGTCGAAGAGAGTCGATCCATAACCGGGCCACTCCTTGATGATGCTCATGTACTTGAGCATGGCCTGGTGCTGCGCCATGCCCTGCAGCCGCGTCCACTTCTCCAGCACGCTGGTGCGCGTGGCCGACGTCTCCTCCTTCACCCACATCTCCAGCATCTGCTCCTCTTCCACCTGCGCACACGTTACGATGGCTCTAGACCTCCTTTAAACTATGAATATTCTAAACTTGGGACATCCCTGACCAGAAAAACGAACTCTAGCCATTACTAAAAGACTGATCGAATGGAAAACATTCACTCATTTGAACCTTGGCGAAGGTCTGAACACTCTAGTTTCTCACTAACCTTCTGTTTCTTCAGCGAGCCTGTCTTGAAGCTCCTCCTCAGCGTGCCGTCCAGGAAGCTCGGCGTTTTGCGGTTCTCA